AAAAAAAAAAAAAGGAGTAACAGACTACAAATATTCCATCTTTCCCTAAACTAGAAGACTTTAAAGCTGCCTTGGGTATTACTGACATCTGATAATACTAGGGCAGATCACTCCCTTCTCTGTTGTTATGTGCTGTGGAGGTGGACTCATAGCGACTCATAGTGACTCCTCCTTGGGTTTCCAAGGCAGTATCACTTCGGAAGTAGATTGCCCCATCTTCCTTCCGAGGAGTGGCTGGTGGGTTTGAACCGCCAGTCTTCTGGTTAGCAGTCAAGTGTCTTAGGAACTATGCTACCAGAGCTCCCACTCCCTTCTCTAGTACTAAGGTATTTTCCAGTTATAAACTCATAAGATTTGATAATTAATGCATGCAAAGTACATATAGGTCTAATTATTGTCCAGCTCTTCTCTGAAAACAAAAGAGAATTCAACTAGCATGCATCAAAACCAGAGTCAACTGATTTGAATGTTTCAGCTACAGCTAATGATTCCTGAGCCATCACTTCAAAAGCAACACTAATTACTAATGAGGAGAACAGTAAACAGAAAGCCTGCTAACCGGCACTCAAGTAGAACTTCATATCCTTACCTATTGACTCAGTCTCATTGACTTTCACGTAAAAGCCACCATCTCATAAGTACAATCAGTGACTCAATGCACCAATTGTATAACATTATGACATTGACTCATGCCCTGGAGAATCCCTCCCTGGAGAACTTATAATCAGATTGTACACTCTTTCCTGTATTGTATGATAACCAGAGCATTGAACTTGATCCTTCGAGTGCAATAATCCATTAATACTAACTTGGAGCACCATTTCTTAAGATTTCTACAAGGAACAAACATCCTTCACACAAGAGACTCAATTTCACCTTGGTATCTCCCAATAGGACATGAAAGCAAAGGCTGAATAAATGTTTGTAGATTCAGGAAAAAAAGAGTGGAGACTGAGGTGAGGAGTGTACAAAGACAGGCAAACTAGAGTTAAATGGAATGCACAGTTTGTCCAAAGGTGGGAAATAAGACAAGTAGATTGAAACCTATTTGTAGAAAACCTGTATGCCCACCTGGAACATTTTATCTTTTCTAGTAGAAATATAAAGGCACTGAAATTTTTTTATTAAAAAAGTCATTATAGTTGATTTCATAATTAGAGCTGTTTAATTTGGAGTAAAAAGATCTGACTAGCTGTTTGACTTTGAGCATAAATTATGTTAGTAATAATTTTATCAATCTCACAGGATATGTGTGAGAATCAAGGGACTCGAGGTTCAGTCTAAACTGGCTTGAATAATAAGTGAAACTTATTGGCTCAGTTCCAGAAAGGTGTAGGGATGGATGAATCTTCAGGCTTGGCTTTATCTAAAACTCAGACAAGGCGACCCGTTCTTGTGTTTCTGAGAC